AAGCAGCAGAAACACTGTAATGGGGGACAATAATCCCAGCCTCAGGGTTCTGGAAACAGCCACGTGTGGGCTAGAACGGGAGGCCCCTGGGGAAGACACCTGCCTACCAACCAGGGTGAAGGTGAGATTCTCATCAGGCTGCTGTGGCCTGACATGCTGGAGGGCCCAGGGAGACGGGTCTGAGGAGTAGCGAACGCCTGCTTCTGGTTCAGACTTACTCTCCTGGCTCTCTTACTTTCTTGTTCCCCGTTCCCTTTGGCTTTGGCAAAAAAGAGAGCTTCTGTAAGGGCTGTAATGAGCCCAGGGAATAAGGAAACCAGAGCACCTGACACAAGGAATGGGAAGTGAGACCAGCTGACATGATTCCATCCCAGAATCAAGCCGAGAGCATGCAAAACAAGACTGTTCTGTGAGGACAGAAAATTCAATCACTGTGAAACCTTCGCCTCAGGCTTCTTCCAGCTCACTTCTTTTGACTCGCTGTGATCAGTGGGAGGAGGTACAACTGAGGGTCCACACGTAAGGTATGAAAGGACAGCCCCACTGTCATTAGTCAGTTAAGGTGGGAAGGGTAAGAAAGAGGGAGAAAGGCAGTGGGCCTGAATTCCTTTCCAAATGATATCCCATCTTTGGGTCTCACTTTTCCCATTTGTACAACAAAAGGGTATCCAGGTTTGATAGTCTATGGTGCCATGAACATGTGTGGCTCGTGAGTCAGTGAAGTGTAAAGTATAATAGGAGGGCAGTAGACAGCCAGGTCGTGACTCACCCAGAAGTGAGATCACCCCAATACAATAAATATTCAGTCACTGGCACAGCTTCTGGACGGTGGAAAAAAAGCAGTGCATCTGTTTGGCTTATTGAATGAACGTACATATGTGCGGTCTTGTACCTTCAGGCACATGATTATGCATATCCATATATGTTCACACTTTCTCTTAAGGTTGGAAATGTAAAGTTGACTATTTGATGCCAACAACAATAAAAATGAGGAAATTAAGTCAGAGTGAAGTCTCCCTCTCATACCAGAGGGCAATTTCTAACTCCAAAAACAGTAATCATGAATTTCTTTGAATAATTATTGTCCCAGGACACCTTAGTATTCATAAAAATAAGTCAGCAAATATGTGATATTTTCTCACATCTGATTTTGCTTCCATCTTTTTGGTCAACAAGAACAGTTTTCATTCTGAAAAGTGACGGAAAGGATATTGCTAAGAGGAAGTTAAGCCCAGATAAGTAGAGAAGATTGGAAAGTAATAAAGCACCCAAAAATATAAACGCTTTCAGAGCTTTGTGCCCAAGGCCCCAGCTTCCTTATTCATAAATTTGCTTCAAGGATTTTATAAGGAAAAGTGTTGGGGACAGACATTGGAAGTTCTGATTTTTAAAACTGAGAAGAAGGGAATTCCACAAATTACACAGAAGTAAGCTTGACCTCATGGCTGGCTAAATTCTAAGAGTTAATTTTCAAAGAACTGAGGCCACCACCAGCCAGCATGTGTTCACCAGGCAGAATCTATGGAAATGAATCTCATTTTCTGTTTTGTTCTAGGCCTCTAGACAGATAAGGCAAATGCTAGAGAACCAGCACCTCTGGGTCATCACAAGGTCCCTTATATATTTCTGTAGACAAGACAGAAACATGTGCCTTGGGGGTTAGGACATTGCTGGAACTTGTTCCTTGTTGATGGTCATGCCCCACAGGTGCCAATTTAGGGTTCCCAAGGGCCAGGAGAGACCCTTAACAGTGTGTCGTAGGCCCCTGACTTTGTTTCCAACTATGCAACATTTTTATCAGTGAAATGATAAAACATAGTGAAGGCTTGCTTTTCAGATTTGAGGTGACACTAAACTGAGAAGAAGAGTGAGGCTATGAGGTACCACAAGCACGAGTGATAAAGATGCCAATAGTCTTCTACTTTCAAAACTGTTAAACCCTTTATTCAGATGAAATCTGACACAGGAATACCATATGTAAACACAAGCACGGAGGAGCTGCTGTGTTTGAAATGGGAGAGCACACCACAGCCCTGACTTCCAAATCTTCTAACACCCTTCCCCTCCCAACTTCTGCTGAGGCGCTTCAGTGACCCCATGGGACCCCACACACTCACAAAGGACAATCTAACCAGAAGGAATTTAACAGTCACATTACATCTACAACAGGCAGAAAAGGGCAGAGCTCATCCTTACTTTTGCCTTTTGAGATTAAGACATAAAGAATTTTGTAGGTGCTTCTGCGTGGAGACAGGTGAAGCAGTGTGTTCACATGTGGGGGAACAGATGATTCTGGAACAGTAGCTACACTAGGTAAAAGACATGAGGCTGAGCAGTGGCACATGTTTAGTGACTTCGAGTCTTTACTTTAGAACCTGAACCTGAAAGGCCATGATGCCAACAAAGCGAGTCAAATCGTCCGTGGCATCGTGTTCTGTTCTGTGGGAAGATCAGCCCCTCCCAGAGTGCATTGGGCAGCTCTGAGCATGTCAGGAAGACGAGAGACAGAGTGGGCTGTGTTCAGAGGGGAGGGGCAGGGATGGACGGTGGAGGGTGTCTCAAAGCAACCTCATCGTCTTGGGACCAGCTGAAGCGACTGGGGTTGTGGACATTAAGGGGACGTAGAGTGAGGATCTGGGGAAGACAGGAAATGATAGTCATTTTCAAATACTTAATGGGAAATCAGAGCTTAGGTTTGCTCTGAGTGGCTCAGGGGGCAAGATAAGGACCAATGAAGGGAAGAAGCAGGCAGACAAACGATAGCTCCATCAGAGGAAGAACATCCCAATAGTCAGAAATGACTACAGATAGAATGGAGGAAGACTAAACTCAGATCACAGATGTGTGTGACCCTGGTCTGAGGACCTCTTCACAGGGCAGTTGTACCCTGGCTCCATGTTTGAATACGGGATTGGATTAGATGCCTCCTAATTCTGAAAAGTACTGATTCTAAATATGTTCCCATTTAAAAAGAATCCTAAACCTCTCAAACTCCAAACAGCCAGATGATGCATCATAATACTAAGCAATGACAAGTCACATTAATAAAAATGGTCCCAAGTTTGTGCAAATCTCCCAGAGCATGTTTCTCAAGCAAGAGGGATGATAGTTAGGGGAATTCTAGTGGTGTCTCAGCTGGTATGCTATCCGTGCTCTGTGTAGTCACTATTAACCACAATTGATAGTGAATCTGAACACTGTATTGCAGACCCAATCTCGAACAAAGGAGTAAACCACATCAAATGCGATTCCTTCCACAACTCTGCCTATACGTATTTCCACAGTAGATGCATTTATGCAAATTAGTTCTTCAATAAACAAAAGTATGTTTACACTTATTTTCTAAAAGATTCTGATCACATAATACTTTTTAAAAACTGCATTTGCTCTTTGGGTCATTATGCCTTTTGCAGTACCTCTAAATACAAAGGATGCTAGGTTGTGGTCGTATGTGTATTCCTACATACAGAGCACTACAATCACATTAACACACTACTCTTGAATTTAACACTCTTTGGCTACCAACACTGAGAAAATCCTTTTTCTATTCCCTCCAGAAAGAATTCTCATACCCTATCCCTACCCACTCCATGAGCTGATTCATTAGTTGGATCATATCGCATGTTCCGTGAGGTACAGGAATGTGTGGGGAGGGGCTGGAAAGCTTTTTACCCACAACGTGGGAACTATTGACACAGAGGTCTCTAATAACAAGTGGGAAGGTATGGGAACAGTTATTACCCGACTTGATCAAGAAGGGCACCTTGGAGCATTGTAAAGAGTCTGCAGCTTAAGTCACTGCCATCGATCCATGTGTACAACAACCGCGGGCTGCAAGCTCTGGTTTATCCGTCCTGTGACTATCCAGGGAAACAGAGACCTGGCTGGGTTTGACCGGACACCACTTCCAGTGCCACCCAACTCTAGACTTCTGTGCCTCTGTATATAAAGTAAGATGTTATGATGTTTACAGACAAACCCAGTAGGTATTTAAATTTAGTCAGTGTACATGACAAACACATACATACTTACACATACATACTTACTTGCTGTTTTATTTTACTTTTACATTAAAATAAAGAGGCATTATTTGCTTCATAAAATACTGAGCTTGGTCTATATAAAAGATCTCTTCTGGTTTAAAAGTCCATGATTGTTTTGTGTCATATAAGGTGTCATTGTGTGATTTATTTTAAACATAAACATACCTAGATTCTTTAAAGCATATTCTGATATCATATTTGAATTCACCTACATTGTCCCTAACTGTGCCACCTTGGCAATTCACTGTCATTTAACCCCTTGGCCCTTAGTGCATTTCTGTGTAGAGCAAACAGACTGGTATAGAGATTTTTTTGTTCACGTCCTTCCAGTTCTGATTTCTGAGGCACATTCACCCATAACAGAGCAAAGCAGAGCACTCCCTATATACTCGTGAATGTATTATTTTCTAAAATCCACCATCGAGAAACACCATCATGAGAAACATTAGCAAGAAACATATGACCTTTAAATTGCTACTCCCCCCCCCAAATACCACAGTACCTAAGAAATGACCCCAAAAATGGGAAGACTTGGGAATATATATTTACAATATACAAACAGCTTGATTTCCAAAGGATTCTGCCAACATACTCATAAACTTGGAAAAAACTTTCCACCCAGCTTCTAACATAGCTCATTTGATCATGTGCAATTCTGATACGGAACATAAAAATCCCTGGAGGCAGAGTACAGGTTAATTTTGAGAATAAGGACAGATACAAACACCACAAACACGAGAGACGGACTCCATATCCTCAGTACTCCCTCCCATTCGGCCCTCAATGACTCATCCATCAGGGCCCAGTGTGGCCACTGGAAATTCTGTTTGAGGCTGAGCTGAGGATAGGGTCCCTCAATATAAGAATATCTGGGCATCCCTCAGTAATAAAGTGCAGAGAGATGCAAGGCCCCATGGCCAGTCCTGGCATCAAAACCAAACAGACCCCAGGACTTACCAGCTGCTCTGCTGGTCCTGTCCTGCCCAGGTGATGGTTCTGCTGTTCGTGAATAGAGGATTGGCAGGTCGGGGAGCTGGGAGGAAATGTAATTTACTGCATCTGGTAGCAGAGAACAGGGAATACAATTAGGCACAGTGTCGGGAGGCCCAATGGGTTCACTGCCGAGACAGCAGCTCGTCTGCCCTACATAATGGAGCACCGAGGCGGGCACTGAGTGAGAGGATCAGGGTGAACAAAGACAAGCATCTGCCCAGTGGCTGGTATTCAGCAGAGGAGCTGAGGCCGGAGGGATCCTGGCCAGAGAGCTGAAGCCCAGGACTGCTCTATGTATTAAAAGATTCATCAGGAAGCTCTGGATTCTAAGAGTACAATGCGTTTGGCTGGAGTGGGGGTGCGGTGGGCCCGTGAGAGCCATGATCAACTTGGTGGCATTCACCAACTATGGGACATCAAACTAGAAATGTGCATTCAACAGTACTGACAAACAGATTTGGGTCTCAATCCCTGAACTGGAAACGGAGCTTTATGAGCCTGACTTATTCAGAATACCAGTTTCATAGGCGTTTTTTTTTGTTGTTGTTTTAAAAAACCCTCTAGAATTCACCCTACAATTTCAGTACTTCAGGCTGGTGTTTCAGGCAGAAAATGCTGAGATCCAACTAACAACACCCAGTGGACTCACCATTAGCTCACAGTGCAAACGAGGGAGACTAGCTCTATTTGGGGATACGCCTTGACGAGCCCATTCAGGGAGGGGAGACCCTGGGGGGCATGAACGTCAGCAGGGTACCAACGTGTCAGAGAGGAGGAAAACACTGGGGTGAGACAAGGAGAAGAACCAGTGTGTGCCCCCGAGAGAAGGGGAAAAGCCAACGCAGGAACATTCTAGAAAGCTGGGCTCTATGTGATATGATTCCTTCCTATGTACAACCACGTCCCAGAATCCTGGAATGTCAATCACGTATCAATAATTACATTAAACTGCTTACTGCATATCTCCACTAAACATCCTATAACAATCACCTCAAACTCAATATGTCCGAAACAAGACTATCTTCATTCATCCGCTGTGTGTCCTGTACTCTGCATCTCAGCTCACTGGCACGACGGTTCACCTGGCTGGGGTTGTGGGCAGTGCCCTTCACTCCCCCTCCCAGTGTCCAGTTAGTCCCCTAGCCTCTACCTCCTTCACATCTCTTATGTCTGTCCTATTCTCTGTATCCTTCGCTTTGGCAGGTTTCTTTGTTATTTTTATTTCATACTGGAGACAACAGCTAACAGATACCAGATTAGGATTAGGATTAGGGTTAGTTCAGTTCTACACCAGCCAGACCATTTCTGACTCACGTGAATCTGAACAACTCAGAATGTACTGATGCCAGACTACTTGGTTCTTAGTACAAAGAACACCCTCTGTTAGTGAGGGCAGAGCAGGGTTTCTCTAAGAGAATTGATTTTCCCATATCAACCATTTGGGGGAGAGGAAACAGGAAATCAGGAGTAGGTAGGCAGGTCTTAGGTTGGAGTGAGGCTCAGTTACCATTTCTCTCTGGGGCCTAATGTGCTAGAGCTCGAACTCTGGGTCGGACAGACATGGCTGAAGACCTACCGCAAGGAAAAAAGTTAGGCTTTTGAGATGATGGGCTGGGAGGTGGCCGCGAAGCAGCCTGTGGGATCCCTTCCCCCCTGAAGATGGGCCTGGGTGTGAGCCAGGGTTCTGAGTGTAGCCACTTGTCCGAAGTTGCACATTTTGCTGCCGGGGTTCCCGAACTTTGGTTACAGGCCCTACTCTCACTGTGGGGAGCTGTGGGGAGGATCTGACCCCAAACCAGTGCAAGGCAGGGCCAGCGAGAGCAGCAGGTTGGGATAAGCTGGTCCTGAGGGGAGAGGGGGCAGATTGCTACCAGTGGTCCCTGGGAAGAATGGGGCAGCAGTCTGGGGAAAGAGGGGCAGTTTTGGGGACAAGAGGTGACCAGAAAAGATGTGCAGAACTTCTGAGCTTCACTGAGGATTTCCAGAAATCTGTGGAATGGAATCCCAGTAAGTCTGACTTCCTGAATTTAAATGAGATGGAGGCTCAAGCCATTAAGAGCCGGTGATAACACATGGACTGGACACACGTGTGTCTAGTACATTCTACATTAAATACAGTGTCTAGGGCACCTCTGCACACAGAAAGTTTGAGTAGCTAGAAACAAAAGCCACTCACAGACAGGGGACTCCACACCTGAAAGAGTGTGTGATTCCTCATGCTTATTTCTCAGCTTTCCCGAGGGGGCAGCTCCCTGTCAGATGTGAATGGGGGATGGAGTTATTTTGTGTAGTGTTCACGGGCCATAAGCAAGCTTGAGCAATACAGCTCTTGGGGGTTTGGGGCTACATGGCTTCTGCTAAGAGACAAGGGAGTGGCAAGGAGTGGGACATGAGGAAGAACAGGGCAGTCCCCCCAATATATCATTAAATGGCAAATGCATAACCCTAAGGTTATGCAGCCAGGAGGTGTCTGATAGACCAACACAAGGAATAATGAATGGGGCCTCCAACGCTTCTGTGGGAAAAATGTCCTCACGTGGCCTCAGTCAGAACACTGCCCTCTTCCTGACCAAGTCAGGGCGGTCTATCATTATTCTTCCCACTGTCAGAGAAGGCAGAGAGCCGTCACTGACAGAGCAGAAACTTAACATGAGTGCTTCTTATTAGGTCCAGCACTGCCAAAATAGTGACTGTAGCTATGAAGAACATAAATGGACACAGAAGAGAGACAAAGTTGATGAAAACTGCCCTGAAAACGTGACTTCTGTGCAACGTGAAGACACACTGAGATTTCTCAACAATTGGGATGAAGGTTTTGATATAAGGATGACATCAGACCACAGACTGGGATGGAAACCTAAGAAGATCTGCATAGGCCCAGGGTACTTTTCCTTCGTCAGTTCTGGCCAAGGGTTTCACAGCAATTCCTCCATGGGTAAAGAATAGAGTTAGCACTAGATACATACTGCATGCAATATACAGTTACACAAGACACTGCCTATTTAAGGCAATAAAAACAACCCACCCAACTGATGAAGACTGCTACATAACAGTGCATATAGGGGAGGCAGAGGAAGGATGTGTAGTGGGATCAGAATGTATATGGTCAGGAAATCCTACTTCAGATCACAATACTTTGCTCTTGATTACCAGGTCTGCCATGTGATCCAAGGCCATTTGGTGATCCAGCGGTACCTTCTCCTCTGAGATGCACAGGGTGGCACAGGATACCTGAATCATTACACACACATACACCAGCAGCCATCTCCTTGGCACCTCACTAAACTAGGGCTGCTTTTGCTAATTATCTGCAGTATCTTGTACAGTTATATAACCTTAGTTGGCCCTGGATTCTGTAGTCAGCATTTTCAGAAGCTGGGTATTTTTCTTAAAGTATTATTCCATAATAATTTTGTGTTGGGTCTTAGTAACAATGGTTGATTCTAAGAGGATCTTGGCAACTTTAAAATCAAAGGGGCTTTGAAATTAAAGAATGAGACAATAATTAGACATTTCACAGTCCCTCAACCGGATACGCTTCAGTTTTTACCCTCAGGCCACAGAGCGACCTAAACATGGACCATGTTCTTGGAAGGATGTGTTTCTTCCTACAAATTTCTTTCTTTGCCAGTAGAGATGGTGTGATGGAAAACTCCCCCACCCCAACAATGTTATAACCAGAGATGGCAGGGGTCACAATCCAAGCTGACAGGTAAGAACACAGTAACTTTTCCCCGGCCGTTTCTTAGGATCCCTAAGACGTGCATATCCTCCTAACTGAGATCACCCATCCTGTCAAAGAGCAATGCAGGACAGAATCATGAAGGCAATTTCCTCTGCAGCTCATTTTAGTTAGGATCACATTTCTCACCACCTCTACGAACTGCTTAGGTGAACCGATAAAAATAGTGGGAAGTAATGCAAGAGGAACTGAGAGAAGCTCAGAGTGAAAAGGAAAGAGATAGTGGCAACGGTTTATAATGAAGCTTCATTTTTGCTTGTTAACATGCCATGGACTGTGTGGGTCTCCATGCCCCACGAAGCCTTCCCAGGGACATGGCTCGTTCCTGAGAAGTCCAGGGAAGTTCCTGGTTTGAGAAGGGAGAGGAAAAAAAAAATTGAAAGCATAAAAGGTCCATGTGTACCCTTCTGGTATTTAGGTGTCTACGGGTCGGTGTCCCAATCCCATCCCAGCCTGACACTTACTGTATTGTTGCTGACTGTGTGCAGTGCCTCAGGTGTCCCCTGGCACCGAGGAAGCCCACTATCCTTCCAATGCAGTCACCCCCCAAAACAGTCAAGGTCACATCCTCAGACCATGCTCCACCCCTAAAGCACAGAACAAGGGCCCTGACTTGGCCACACCCTAGAGAAGGAGGTCCTGCTGGCTCGGCCCTGATTCGTCCCTGCCCACATGCACGGAGCGCATGAGATTCCATTTAATACCTTCCCAAAGATCACCTGGGGAGCCAAAATCCAGATCCCCTGCCTTTCACTTGCTGGGGGAAAAAAACACAATGTACCCAGAGATTTTTTTCTCTGAAGTCAGGACTATCCTTAGTGCAAGTATCTTTGCTAATCAGAAAAATGCATTATCCATCACTGCATTTAAAATTCTCTTCTCATAAATTTCCAAGTGACACTGGGGAAACACTGATGTCCGCTATCACTCTCACTCATCCTCCTAGTTTAGAGGCTGACTTTATAAGAACCAGATGAGCAGACTGTATCTGATCCTTCTGACAAGTCCACCATTTTAAAGCAGGTCTAGCTGAGGGCCAGAGTGCAAGCGGAAAGAGCGGTTTTCTGGAGCTTGTAGCTAAGGTGAGGGGCGCCAGGGGAAGGATGAGAAGCACACAATCCCAAGTTCGTCCCCCAGGGCCCCAGGTAAGAGGAGGGGAGGGCAGGGGCCAGGAAGGGAAGGGAGAGCGGAGGAGGGCCTGCTCCTGCCCGGATGGGCGCAGGGAGCCAGGACCCTTTCCCACACTTCACGCGCTCTGGGTCAACTGGGCCCCACAGGAAGGGATGCTCTGTCCAGCCCCCTTCCCTGGGAGGCTGGAGAAACTGCAGCTGTCAGGTTCAAAGAAAAAACAGAGGCTTTAGAAAGGTGCCCTAAACACCAGATACTGGCCTTCTGACGTGTGTTGTGACCTAGAGACCTAACCGCCAGCACCAATGGGTTCAGTCCTGCCCCGGGGAGATGGGGAGGGGAACCTGGTCCTGATTTAATGAACACTCTTTGCTGAGCATCTTTCAAGAAAGTGGAAGTGGGGAGAACGAATGGGAAGGACAAGCGCCTGGCCCATCATGTAGGACTAGCAACGGGGAGTGGAGAAGCAGTCCGTGAAGAAGACAGGCAGAGAGCACTTGGGGTGCGGGTCTCCTCAGTGCCCCCCAACAGTGCCGCTCCTTCTTGCCGATGCCCTCACAAACCAACACGCCACGTCTCCTTGTGAGCCAGTGTCCAGGAAACTAAGCTGACCGGGTGAAAACACTCACCTACAGACAGGGCAGAGAGCGCTTACACTTACCTCCATCCGTGTTGGAGAAGCTCTGTGGAAACAAAAGCAGAGTCGAGCGTTACTACACAGACGAGGACAGAAACCCTCGTCCACTTAACCCATCTGCCCCAGGCCCAGGCCCAGAATTTAACTGGCGGCCACACCCGAAGCTCTCTTTTCTTCCAGGAACTTTGTTTGGGATGCTGAGGTTTAAGGGAAAGCTTTCTCAAGCCCATCTTACACCGAATGTCTCCCAGTGAAGACTTATTTCGACTCTCTACCCAGCAAATACCCTTGGTTTTGTGGTATCAGAAAAGTCCCCCTTAAAATTAATTTGTTTAGATTGCTTTCCTATTGCTGATGGGCACCTGAGGAAACCGGAGTTATAAAATGGAGGGAAGGTCCTTAGGTACTATTTAGAGCCTGCTGGCTTTATGGGTTCTCTCCTCTCTTTGCTACATACACAGCACTGTAAAATTGTATGTGTTTACACTTTGTTCTTGGAATTCATGTCCATTTGATTGGTTTTTGCCTCTGGCCTTTTTTTTCTTTTTTCTTTTTTCTTTTAAATAAAGGAAAGCCATTAAAGCCATAGGGAACATATTTAATCTGCTTAATAAGAATCGGTTTTAGGATTCTATAGGTTTTAGGAGTCCAATGGGAATGACTTTTCAGGCATCAGGCATATAAAGGGTTTGGACAGGAGATAGATGGGGTTAATTTAGTAACTCTTCTCTGTGCCTCCTGGCAGGCAGGTGGTCCCACACCTGAAGACAGGTCACTCTCAGCTGCAGAGATGGCACTGGACTTCACACATCTGCCCCTCAATGCCAGAGTATGTGGCTCAGCCTTCTCGTCAATACCAACTGGCCTTTTGTCCAGTTGGCACCATTTTACTGGTGCTTACTTCCTCATGGGTATAATTGAGAGACATCACATTTGTTTCCTTCACCTTCTGTAAGTCCTTGAAGGATTTCTCCGTCTCCTTGAGTTTCTCTAGGATAATTTGCTCTTTGGCAGATATCTGCGACTCTTCACTTTCTAGCGCCTGTATTTCCTGCTCCAGCCTGGAAAACACACAAACAAGAGGACAGGTTACTTTATTGTCCTGCCATCCCTGGGCCAGAGAGCAGATCCTTCCTGTGGGGTGACTTCCTGGCAGTCTCCGCTTTACACTGTGCTGAGGTATCAGGCCAGGGTTTCACATTACAGAACACTCTGTGTTTTCAGCTTTTCCACGGAGCAGAAGGGCAGACACTGGTCAAAGGGAAGTAACCCAGAGCTACAGCTGCTAGTTCACTGTCATCACTTTGCAATACGCTTTGGTGTCTCCCCTCCAACTCTATCAATGTGCATATTCTTAATTTGGAGGCAGGCATTTTTACACAGCAGAAGACATAATATCTGATGGAAAACAGCTTCAGATTCCTCTAGCTATCTCAGAATGACTGCTCTTCTGACAGGTTGGCCAAAGGGTGACAAGCCAGTCTTGCTCAAAGGAAATACACTACCAAGAAATGGTTGGTGGCCAGAACTGTTAAGAGCCTGCTGTCATCTCCCTCAGTGGCCTGTCCTCTACTGCCAAAAAGATGGAGTGGACTGATATAATTGCCTCTACTTTCTGGAACTTTCCTCAGTTTTCATAGCCATCCTATATATTTTCTAAAAGGCAAATTTCAGCACTGCCAGGAGACTTGGGGACTCTTCCAGAACGGCAGCTAGTTATGATTTGGGGGACCTCTCAGCAGCTGTGTTCTTTCAATGAAATGATGGTAATACATTAACTTTTATTGAGCACGAAATCTTTGCCAGGAACTGAACGAAGAAGTCACATGGCTTACTTCAATCTTCCTAATGACCCTGTGAGTAAGGAGTCTCCGTTTTACAGAGGAGATCATTAAGGCTTGACAACGTTAAGGAACTAGTTTACTGTTGCAGAGCCTCAAAGCAAGGATTCAAGCCAGGAAGTCTAACTGTAGACCAGGCTCCTAATCCTTGTGCTGAACTCTCATCACATGGGTTCTACAGCATTTCACATATTCCTGCCTTGTTAATCATTGAGTATGTTGGCATACTGGGGTGGCACTGTTATTCAGCAATGGCTTTGGGGTTATGAAGGGATGGGTGCCCTCTGCCGAAAGGAATCCAGACTATTGTGCTTCTGGAATTATTTGGTCTGAATTTATTCATTCATTCATTCATTCAGTTTTGCTTTTGGTCTCTTTCCCCTCTGCCATGCTGGAAGCTTGGCTGCATGGTCTGTGCCCGCCTATATCCTATCTCCCTCCCCCGCCTCCTCTTCCATCTTCTAATCTGCTGCTGGGACCTGGCTAACCAAGTCTGTTAGACTAAGACCTAAAGTAAAGAGTTCAGAGTCAGATCTTCTAAGGGGTACGGAATACCAAGATAGGCACAGATTTATTTAGGGATGCACTAAATACATTTTCATTTCCTTCCTGGGCATCAGGAAAATAAGTTCTGATTGGATGAGACTTTGCAGCAATTACTTTGGCTTATGAAGACAAACCCTATATACAATGATACCCCCTCCAAATGAACACAACTTCAGATATACTTATCATTTCACTCACAATAAAAGTGGAAGACCTTACAATGGCTTCTAAGGCCCTGCAGTCTCTAGCCTCCCAGTACCTGTATGGCCCCCACTCTTACCAGCACGTCTAGTTCACTTAGCTTTTTAGTCCAGCTGAGCTATTCCCTCTTCTCCCCTTTGTGCCCCATGTTTCCCCCTTCTCCAAGAAACCCATCTCAAAGCTGTAACCCATTCTTGAAGTCTCAGCTCAGATGCCACCTACAGCATGAGGCTTTCACAGATTCCCCACCAGGAAATAACATTGGCTCCTCTGAACATTTCTTAGCACATTATTTTGGTTTATCAGAGGTCTTATCAAGTCTACTGTATGTTAGAGTAGTAGTTCCCAACCAAGGTGATTTTGGCCTCTAGGGGATATTTTGGCAATGTCTGGAGATATTTTGGTTGTCCATAATTCAAGGAGCATGGAGTTGGTGCCACTGGCATCTAGTGGGTAGAGGTCAGGGATGCTGCTAAATATCCTTCAGTGCACAGGACAGCCCCACAACACAGAATTATCTGACCCCCAATACCAGTAGTGCTGAAGTTTAGTAACTCTATGTTAGGGCATATATAAATTATTAATTTTCCCTGCTAGATTATAGATACTTCATGGAGAGGGCACAAATGCTAAATACAAGTATGTGGAATGAATGAAAGAAGCTGAACCGAGTTGCAAAAAGCCATGGTTCAGTCAAGATGAGACCTTCAGGGTTTCTGAGACCAGGGTGAATTCTTCAGCAAGCTTTGACTTGGGAGAGGCTGTGTGCGGGGGCTCAGGTGCAGATAGAAGCCAGAGGAGAGGGGGCCAAGCAACATAGACATTAAACAAAGAGCTATAAAACTCCTTTGCCATTCCAAATGTTCAGCAAAATCTTCTACACACATCTGTGTAAATTATTTTGGGGGAAGAGTGCTGGAATCAAGGAAAGAGATATGAGCCTGAGGACAACACACAATGACATAATCAAATGATCCAGCAACTGAACTAATTCAATGGGTAGAGGAGCTGTAGACTAGAGGTTTCCTGGAAAGAATGAATGGTATTACAGGCCAGGTGGGTTCTGAGCAAATTTCATTTGAATCTCAAAGGTCAGAATACCTCAGCAGGTATTTAGGATGTGGGTAAATTCTATTCTTCTCAAATGTATTCCCACCTTTCCACCTTCACCTCCATGGGAAGAGTATGCAGATCCCTGACCCAGTAATGTTGGTCCTGGCCACAGGAGTTGCTTTGGTCTCCTGGTGTGTGGGAGGTACTTCCATGCCCTTGACCTTGGGCTCAGCTATGGGACCTGCCAAAAGGATGTTAGCAGACACAACACAAGGAGAAGCTTGAAATGCGTTTGCCCATTTGGGCTTGTCCTCTTGTGCCTCTGCCAGTACCATCGAAGAGCTTCTCTGGGCAACTGCTGTCCCTTCAGCCTGGGCTCTGGAAAGAACAAGTGGGGAGCAGGCTGGAGCCCAACCCAGAGTCAGAAGCCATGCCCAGTTGGACTTGCACCTTAAATCAGAGTCACTCAGCTGAGCTCAGCCTAGACCAGCCAACACTCCAGTCTATTCACAGAAGTATGAACAAGAACAAGTGATTTTTCTTTTAAACCTGAGTTTAAGAGTAGTTTGTCATAAAGTACTATTGTGACAATAGCTAACTGATACAGCTCAAATATTAATGTATTATAGGGATATATATTATGTATGTGTATTATATATGTGTATGTATCCTAATTTTTATTACATATCTATATCTATATATATAGAGAGAGATATAGATATATCCCAATAATACGTGAAGCTAAAAGATTAAAAAGAATACAAGTTACCCTTGCCCCACTTCCCCCAATCTTCAGAGAAATTTTGAAGGATACAGGGCACCCCTTCATGAGGATTAAGATTGAGAAAAATAGGAAAATATCAGTGGTAATTGTCTCTGGGTAATGGGATATTGGGTCATTTTAATGTTGTTCTTTATAACTTTCAATATTTTCCCAATTAAAAAAAATTCATGCATTTTTTTTTCTCTAATCAGAATAAAAACAATACATCACTTTTTACAAATGCCTCCTCCAGCCTCGTGCTGAGAAGCCAGCCTTCACAGGTGGTAGCACAGGAAAAAAGCCGGGGCCTCAGCTGCTCATGTCAAGTGAGGGGTTACTTGGGTGCACCTCAACATTGATTTACAGTCAATTCAGCCAACATTTACAGAGCTCGTTTGGCTGGGCTTGGAGCTAGGACCTACCGGGGATTTTAAAATAAATAAGATCGCGTTAAAAATGGCTGACTTAAAAAAAAGAAAAGGCTGACTCCAAGTAACTCGCTTCTCCTGGTGAAGCTGCCCCAGGCGGTTAAGAGGTCTCTGTGACCTCATGCCCACTGGCTGGCCCGACTGTCTCCACAGCCTGTCCCTGGCTCTATGGGTTTCAGGGCTCTCAGCTATATAGTTCAAGTGCTAAAGATCTGGGTCATGATACGGAGTAACTGAGAAGGAACTGTGGGGGAGGGGGGAGGGCAGAGAGAGAGAGAGAGAGAGAGAGAGAGAGAGAGAGAGAGAGAGAGAGAGAAAAAAGCAACGAAACTAGACTTTTGTGATAAGAACAACTGAGTTTCACACCAAGGGAATGAATGAGGAAAATCAACAGTGTGTGTAAGTCTAAGCAAGTCAGACCTAGTAGCAGATCTCTCTACAAATGCACATGTGGTCTTGGGCCAGGTCCTAAGAGCACTGGCCGTCCAGGCCGTGATCTCTCTATGGACAACCTGAGTCTTTGGGGCTGAGGAGCATCCTAAGAAACAGAGTGTCATGGGTTAGGAAGTCATTGCAGCCAGGCTACAAACGCCACTGTATTGTAGATTCATGACTGAAATATAATGCAGTCTTCCCTGGAGGAGCCAAATAGGATATTGCCGAGCTAAAAATAAAGAATGGGCAGGAAGTGTCATTTATACACAAGGTTAATCGAGGCTTTTCAGGCTGAGACAGGTGCGCATAATAGCCTCTGACCGGCTTGCTCAGTTTCTTCTGAGCAAAAAGCAGGCTGTAATAGGCGATGAGGAAAGGTGACACACTGTGTAGGTTTCATTTACTGGAGACGAAGTAGCAATCATGGCCAAGTGGTCTTATACAATCTACCTAGCCCCAATAGACCTTCCTCACAGGAAATACAAAGCATCTATGGCCCTAGGAAGTACATCCATCATTCTCTCATTTCAAAGTCCATTTATGCATGCATCCATCCAGGTTTTTGCAAGCACCTTCTATCAGGCATGACACTGAGCATCAGGGACAGAGCTAAGGCAGCCAGTGTCTGCTCATGAGAGCTCTTGGCCGAGTGACGAGAACAGCCGAGCAAACACATAAATTACACTACAACCTAAAAAGAGCCATCATAGAGGAAAGAACCATGGGTTGTGGAAGTGTCACTCTGCCTGCGAGTGTTGCGGGACTCCAAGATGCCTGCCCAGTGTCTATCCTCC